GAGAATAAAAGTTATGCCTTCTTTCTTTGCGTGCACATTTGGGCGGCGTTATGCAAATCTTCCCACATAGTGAGGTAGATATGTGGGGGCGTGTTAGAACGAGCCGTTTTAGGTAGGTGTGGCGGACTCTTAACTTTTATAAAGAATATCTCTTTGGATTTGAGACTTTAGTCTTTGCAACTTTACAGATCTTCTTTATGCACCAAGAGTTTGTAACACTTAAAAGAGAAAGGAAAAACTGAAATCGCATCATATGACCCCTTTAATTAATTATTAACTCTTCATTAAACTCACAAACCCCCTACAGTTCCTTTACGAACCCCAGTTTGGGGAACCTTAATGTAATGTTTAATGCACTTCATGTTGTTAATTACAATGAATGGAATATATTTTCTTACTCTTCGCATTTTTATATCAATATGGTACAAGATTATCCTATTTAAATCAATGTGATAAACGAGTTAGTTCAAAAAGTAATCAAAAAGTAGTCCGATTATATTTCCTTAAAATGTGTAATGTAATAGATTACGTTACTGACTACATTCTTTGTCTTGTAATTTGGAATCAGTAATGGATTACAATTTGTAAGTAATCTACCCAGCTTGCAGAATATATAAAAAATACATATGACATCACTTTTATTCATATTTCTGAAAAGGATAAAATAGAATATTCTGTAGCTTGACCATTTAGCTAAAACCGAATTATTTAACAGAATTCATGTCAAAACATCTGTTTATCATTGAAAAAATGGCTGCATTTTTTATTTAGTACTGCCCTGAAAAAGCTATTTCACCCTACAGATGTTTACATACAAATTAATAACTGAATTTATCGAATTTTTCAGATTATTTCAGACAATATTTCATAAACGTATTCTTGGTGTGTCACGTGTGTGTAAGTCCACTGTGTGGCAGGAGCTATTGCGTATAGCTTATTCATTCTTATTGTTGGATTTCTGTGGAAGCAAATATTTTTCATCTTTTGTTTTCTTAAGGTTAGTTTGATCCTTTGGTAGCTGTTGGTAATTTTTTGGTTATCCAGCATCTCCTGCACATTGCGTTCTTTCCAACACTGCCTGTTGACATGACTTTTCACACTTATGACAATTGATGCACTCATACACAACTATTACAAAAGGTGCACACATGCACTGATGCTCAAGGCAACACACTATACACTAAGAACCAAAAAAAAAAAAAGTTTTCATGACCTCCAGACTAGAACGTTGTAGTTGCAAAAAATAAGCTTAACGCTTCATGCAACCATATCAGCCCAATTTTGTCATCACTTCATTAGTCAGGTTTCATATAGACTTCTGCTGATTACATACAAAGCTTTGAAGGGCCTAGTCCCTTGTTACTTATGTGACCATCTATTGCACTTTTAATGGTTGCACAATTCCAGCCTGCTTATAATAAGCCCCATAATCCACCAAAATATGTACTGTATATCCTTTTGCTATTTGTCTCCAAAACTATACTGAATAGTCGTTTTAGCAATGTTTGGGACACAGACACACTCTCTCAATGTAAGTCTAGACGACTAATTCGTTCTTTACAGTTTGGTCTTGCTGTAAATGTCTTCAAATCATGACCTGTGCCAAGCGACCAGTGAAGGACATTTCAAGGTTCATCATCTGCATCACTTCAGTCTTAAATAATTGACCTTATACAGTTCAGTCAGTATTGTAGCCTAACATGGTCACTTAATTATTGACATGATGCTTAATCTGTATAGCCCGAGGAGAATCGGTCCCCTGGTGTGTCACACAACCCGTGCATGCACGTCCTCCTCCGAGCCCACACTATGGCGTCGTAATGCCGCACAGTAGTCCTCCGTGAGAGAGACACACTGCGCATGCTCAGTATCCTCCTTGTTCCAGTGGGAGTCATCGAGCGCATTCTGTGCTGTCTACATTCTCAACTGTGCATGAACTGAAGTCGGCTCGTCTGCGATCCTCGTGATGGACTCTCAGAAAGTAAGTGGCACACAATGAAAGTGTTTTGAATCTAATATCTGAAATGTCGCAGCGGTCCGTCGCTCATGTGCGCAGCAGCACCGTTAACAATCGTACGGCTCTGTGAATAGACACTCCTTTACATTCATACTAATGCAACGTAAAACGAATATGCCGTGTTCACTGTAAGTGTCATCTGGTCTCGTGGCCTTTATGAATTGACATTGGCGTTTTATAAATAGTGTTTGACCTGTAGCTGTAGCTATATTCATGATTAGGATTTATATTAGACCATGTGTTTTGTGTTGCCGGTTGATAAAATGTTACCTTGATGTCCGGTGTTACGTTGCATCGGACTGAGCCCTTGCTACATAATACGAATGTATTCTGTGCTATATATAAATTACAGTAGCTCAACGTTGTGGTCCATTCTGAAAAATGTGTTATTATGTTGATAAACGATACAGATTAGCCTATATGACGATTTGTGAACATTAGGTTAAATGACGAAATATTGTTGTTCTTCCACAGTATGTTAAGATAGCTGTGATGAACCTGTGAGGAAGCTGTCAAAGTCATCTTTGTCTTGAGTGTTTGCATAGGTGTGTTGCATCTCTGTGTATTTTAGGGTCTGTCCTTGGCAACATTAAATGCAAGTCACGTTGATAAGTTTAGCATGGTGTATAATGACTAATTATAATGCAATAATTATTATGCAGCTTCATATTTGCCATGTTTTGATTATTGAATCAAGAATCATGTGTATATGGTAGGTAATACACATTTGTGCATGTTTCGGTTGAGGCAGGGAATAAACTAGCACACAATCCGAGTACAATCCGACTGTATTGTCAGGAAGTGGGTCATGCCGTTGTGGGTCTTCAAAAGGAGTCCGATTTCAAAGGCGATGCTGAATGTAACTTTGGACTTTTTTCAACGGGTGGTCGCTCTGTTCACCTG